AAAACAGTTGAATGCTCATCATTTTCGGCATACCAGCCAAATTAAAAAGCTACTGAGCAAGTATTAATAATTTACCCTCAGTCTATAGTCCAAAAAGTATATATATAATATATACATAAAATAAAAAGTATACATTGTTTTTGAGTGTCGTGGAGTCAGACCAACTCATAGCTGACCATCCAGCAGGTTTTCAGAGGCAATAAATCATATAAGAGGAGATAAACCTTTCTTCTCCTGTGGAGTAGCCAAGGGCTTTAACCATATGCCTTTGGGTTGCAGTGAAGCCTCTTACCACTAAGCCACTAGAGCAGAGTGTGTATATGTGTGTGTGTGTACGTGTGTGTGTGTGTATGTGTGTGTGTACGTGTGTGTGTAATAAAATGTGTTGAATGGGTAAGGTCTCTCAATATGGGCTGAGTCCACAGCTTTCCTTTAATCCATACTAACCAACTGCTCCTTACCTTCAGTCCCCTGGAGATTGGTTGTGAGAGATTGCAAAGCCTTTGGAAGGCTCCGTAGGCCGAAGGAAGAGGCAGCCCAACTTGGCATCCACAGCATCTGATCTCAGTTGTGTGTTCCAAATGGCAAAGTTCAACAAGCAACACAGATCACTCAGAAACGCCGCCAGGGCCTGCACATCGGAAGGGATAGCAAAAGCCTGTGAGATCACATATGTGATAGGACACATTTCAGATCACCCTGTAGTGGCATGGTATTTGCTCACATGTAAACCCAGAATTAGATGAGGTTAGTTTTAAAACCAACTCACAAATGTTCTGTGTGTGTGCACGGTATATATACTCTCTGAAAGAACATTGAGAGGAAAACACTTGGATATGTTGCTGTGTGGTAACTGTCGCAGGGAAAGTTGTTTATCTATTATTTCCCTTTTTCCAGAATTTTGATAAAGTTCACTGTGCCTTTTGGGACTTTGACATAAACAGTAAGTATTTTTCATGGTAAGCCTCTCATTGAGATGTTGCCTTGTTCCCCTATTTGGCAACTGGATGAGAGGGAGTTATTTATACTTAAGCTACTTGTCTTGCCCAATCCTCTGATTGATCAAGCTAATATGCCATGAGTTTCATATCTCATTGTGGTTGTTGATTGCCATCGAGTGAAGCATGACTCATAGTGACCCTATAGACAGAAGACCTGAAGCCTTTCTATAACTATCATCATTTCTCAAAGTTCATAGTTTCCAGAGGCATGTTGTCTAGGAAATGTATACCACTCCTGCTCCCAATCATATCTAATTAGGGCATGGGAATGAAAAAAAATTTTCTTATTGGCAAGAGATTTATTTGAGAAACAGTAAAAACAACGTAACTCAGGGGTTAATAAAGTTGGAAGGTCCAGTGCCTTGTAGCCCCAAGTTGTTTGGAGAGAGTTGAGGAAGAAACACCTGGCTTTTTATATGGGCTCTCTCACCATGATTTATAATATTGACAGTCTCTTCCCTCTCTCTTGCGACATGGTACAACTTTGAGGCAGGCCCGTCTACCCTCTCTGAGCTCTAATCTCTTCATGTCTTCATTGGGGGAATAAGACTTTCTAGTTGATAATGCATGAGTCTTTGGGACCAATAAGTGGAGGAGTTGGAAATTATGACTACTGAATGGACTCCTTTAGGCTTCCTTCCTCCATTGGTTCTCCAGAGATGATGCAAAATTGCAGAGAATTCCCACATAGAAGCAATTCTTTGTGGGATGCTAGGTGTGCCTGTGGGAGGAGTTCTTTATCTGTGGAAACTTTGCCAGGGAACAATTCTTTTTCAGTATCTTTGAAACCCTTGGAGGAAAGAAAAGTTCTCTTCTCATCCTATTCACTTAGGTGTAAGAATATTGCTTCTTTCCTATGATAGAAATAGCATTGTATTTCCCTGCCCCTTTCCAAGTCTCCCATGATGAATCCTGTAAAAAGATGAGCTCAGTTCCCATACAGCTTATAAAAATTAATCTGTGTGTGCATTAATGTTAATTGCTGAACTCCTCCTAAGGTAACCCTTTTTTTTTACCCCTATGTCCCATGGATCCAGTATCTCTCAGATCTGTGGAGTTACCAGAGAAGCCCATGTTATGATCCCTCTGAGCTGCCTGCCCTAGGATAACCCATCTGGTTTAGTGCCATCCTGGAGGTTCTGCTTTGGATCTTGTACCTGCAATCTACCTATAGGTTATAAAGGTTCAAGACTTGGTTCTAGAACCTTGATTATTTCTGGGGAGTGAGAAACTAGGCAGATGTCAAGTGGACCAGAGGATCTAGTTGGCTAAAAGCATCTTCAGACTGGGATTTGGCTTGAGGACAAAGTACTTGAGGTGCTCTCAAGTTGATAACAAATTTTTGTTGTTGTTGTTATGAGGCCATTTGACTTGTGGATTGAATTGGTTGCTTCAGATGCCGATTCTAGTTCCACTGTGTAGTGTTAGCTTCATGTCCTTAACATAGTACTAGATCTGTCTGTTTCCCATTTGTTGAATGCTTAAAAAGCAGTCCTTCAAGCATGGTGACAGAGTCTCATTACTAGAGTTTCTCCTAAATTATAAGACAACATAGGAACTGGAAAAGCTATGCCAAAGAAGTTATGCCATTTACAAAGTCCCTAAAAAGTTAAGTTAGTCTGTTTTACTTAATTTTATTCCAGCATTCTCTTATACCTTTATCTTGCTGTCTTAACAAACAGTCCTAATTAAAACACATTTGAATGGTGTGTATAATGAAAAATGGTTTCTTGGGAAATGAAATTGTTATAAAACTTCTTTCTGTCCCTGCAGATGGGCTAGGTGGATGGAATTCATCAGGCTGCAAAGTAAATGAAACAAACATAAATTACACCATATGTCACTGTGACCACCTCACCCATTTTGGGGTCTTAATGGTGAGTTGCCTCTTAACCATTCCTCAATCTAAACTAAAGGAATTTCACAACTTTTTTAGACTATTGTTGTGAGGTTCTCTCAAGTTAATAACTTGTTGTTGTTGTTATGTGTTGTCGAATCACCTACAACTCATAGTGACCCTATATACAACAGCCGTGAGGCCTGCCCTGTCCTGGGTTAGTCTCACTGACTCCAGCACACCTATCCCCATTGCCCTAGATACTGCATCAATCCATCTCATTTGGGGTCTTCTTCTCCTGCTCTGTCCCTTCACCCTTCCAAGCATGCAGGCTGTTATGAAACACATCTTACTGGTTATCCTTTCATCTCTACAACAATGGTCTTATGCATTATTTGTCCTTATGAAACTGAGTTAGATCACTCAGCATAATGCTCTCTGGATTCTCCCATGTTAAACAGTATTTTACAAAATTGTTTCTGCTTATGCTGCATAGTATTCTGTTGTGTGAACATACCAAATTTCTCAGTTCATTCATTTGTTGATAGACATTTGGGCTCTTTCCATTTTTTTTTCTATTGTGAATGACTCTGCTATTAACATAAGTGTACAAATCTCTGGTTGTGTCTCAGCTCTATCTTTCTCAGGGTATATTTCTATCAGTGCACTAGCTGGCTCCTATGGAATTTCTATGTTCAGTTTTTCAAGAAAATGCCAAAATGCCTTCCAGAGTGGTTGTACCATTTTACAATTCCACCAACAGTGCGTAAAAGTTCCAATCTCTCCACATCCTCGCCAACATTTATTGCTTGTTGTGCTATGAAACTTTGCCACTGCTACTGGAGTGAGATGGTATTTCATTGTAGTTTTACTGTGCATCTCTCTGATTGCTAATGATTTTGAGCATTTCTTCATGTGTATGTTGGTCATCCATGTGTCTTCCTTTGTGAAGAATTTTTCCATATCTTTGGCCCATTTTGTAATTGGGCTATCATTCTTTTCCTTGTGAAGGCCAAAGAGTAATATTCTGTAATGTTTTGTTATGAGACTCTTATCTGAGATGTCATTGTCAAATACTTTTCACCTTATTGGAAAAAGTTTTTAAGCACACAAAAACTTAATTTTTAGAAGGTCCCATTGGTGGATTTTGTCTTCTCCTACTTCTGGACTGTTGTCATACAAATAATATCTAATCATACATTCCTTTTAAAAAATTTTCTCCCTCATCTATTTCAATGCAGTAGACATTATTTATCCCTTCTTTCCTTATTTTTCCCCAAACCCCAATATTAGTCCTGTTTATAAGGGTAGCATTATGCAGTATTTGTCCTTTTGTGACTGAGATTATTTCACTCAGCATAATATCCTCCCATGGTCATCAATTGTTTTTTCAATGCAGCATAGTATTTAATTGTGTGAATATACCAAAGCTTCTTATATCCATTTGTTTGTTGATGAGCACTTGGGCTGTTGTCAGCTCTTTGCTATTGTGAACAAAGCAGCAATAAACATGGGTGTGCATCTATATGCTTGGGTGGCAGATCTAGTTTCTTTAGGGTATATTCACAGTAGTGGGATTGCTGGGTCAAATGGCATTTCTATTTCCAACTTTTTGAGAGAGCACCATACTGCCATTTTACACTCCCACCAAGAGTAAATAAGGGTTCCAGTTTCTCCACAACCTCACCAGCATTTGTTGTTTGCTGTTCTGTTGAATTTTTCTGCTGTTACTGGGGTAAGATACTATCTCATAGTTGTTTTGATTTGCACTTAGAACCAGGTATTTTGAACATTTCTTCATATGTTTGTTTGCCATCTGAATGCCTTCTTTGGTAAAGTGTCTGTTCATATCCTATGCCCATTTTTCAACTAAGTTGTTTACCTTTATCTTGTTTTGGTGCTCAAGTATTCTATACATTCTAGACATAAGTTCCTTATCAGACATGTCATTACCAAATATTTTTTCCCAGTCTGTAGCTTTCCTTTTTACCCTGTTGGAGAAGTTTTAGGATGTGCACAGGGATTTGATTCATAGAAGGTGCCATTCATCTATTTTATCCTCTCCTCATTGTAGGTTTTTCAGGATGCCTGGGATACTGTTCATGTTGTGGATTAAGGCTTCTGGAGTTCTTCTAAGCTTTTATCTAATGAAGTTTATAGTCCTTTGTTTTAGTCCTAGGTCCTTGATCCACTTTGAATTGTTTTTTGTGTATGGTGTGAGGTGTGGGTCTTGCTTGAGTTTTCTGCAGATAGTTTCCCAATTTTTCCACATCATTTGTTAAAAAAGGCTCTCGTTTCCCCACTTAACTGATTTCATCTCCTTGTCTAAAATCAGTTGACCATAGGTAGATGGGCTGATTTCTCAATTCTATTCCATTGATCTGTGTCTATCATTGTACTAATACCACACTGTCTTGGCCATCACATCAGTGTAGTAGAATTTGAAATCAGGATGTGAGATGCCTCCTACCTTGTTTTACTTTTTAAGGAGTGTTTTGCTTATTCAGAGTTTCTTTCCATTCCAAATGAAATTGGAATTGCCTTTTCCATCTCGTTGAAGAATAGAATAGGTATTTATATTGGGATTGCACTGAACATATAAATTGCCTTTGGTTATATTGTCATTTTCACAATATTGAGTCTTCCTATCCATGAGCAAGGTATATTCTTTCATTTCGCAAGGTCTTTCTTTTGTTTGTTTTAGTAACGTTTTCTAATTTTCATTGAATAGATCCTTTGTGCTTCTGGTTAGATTTACTCCTAAGTATTTAATCTTATGATTAGCTATTGTGATAGATATTGCTTTTCTTAGCTGAGTCCTATATTCTCTTCATCGTTATAGAGAAATCAAACTGATTTTTGTATATTAATCTTGTATCCTGCCACTTTGCTGAACTGATCAACTATGTCCAGTAGTTTTCTTAGTGAGTCTTTAGGGTTTTCAAAGTATATTATCATATCATCTGCATAGAGAGATAATTTTACCTCCTCTTCGCCAATTTTCATGCCTCTTATTTCCCTCTCTTGTCTTATTGCTGTCGGTATGACTTCCAGTACAATATTAAATAGGAGAGGTGATAGTAGACATCCTTGCCTAGTTCCTGTTCTCAAATTAATGTCTTTAACCTGTTTCCACTGAGAACAATGTTGGCTCTCAGGTTGTTGTATATACTTTTTACTATGTTGAGGAAATTCCCCTCTATTCCTACTTTGTTGAGTTTTTTGGTCAGGAAAGAGTGTTGGAGTTTGTCAAAGGCCTTTTCTTCATCAATTGATAGGATGATGTGGCTCTTGTTCTTTGTTTTATTAATGCGATTAATTACACTGATTGTTTTTCTTATGTTGAATCATTCTTGGATACCTGTTATGAATCCCACTTCATGGTCATGGTGAATTATCTCTTTGATGTATGGTTGGATTCTATTGGCCAAGATTTTATTCAGGATTTTTGCATCTATGTTCATGAGAGATATTGACCCACAGTTTTCTATTTCGGTGTTGTCTTTACCTGGCTTTGGTATCAAGGTTATGTTTGCTTCATAAAATGAGTCTGGGAGAATTGCATCATCTTCTATTTTCAGATAGTCTATGCAGAATTGGTGATAGTTCTTCTCTGAATGTTTGATACAATTAACTTGTAAGACCATCTGGTCCAGGGTTTTTTTGGGGTTTTTTTTTTTGGTTGGAAGTTGTTTTATTACCTTTTCAATTTCTTCTTTTGTAATGGGTCTGTTCAGGTGTTTAATTTTAGTTTGTGTCTGTTTAGGTAGTTTGTGCATTTCTAAGTATTTGTCCATTTCCTCTAAGTTTCATATTTGTTTGAGTATAGTTTTCATAATATCTCAATGTTAGCCTTTTTATTTTAGTTGGTTCTATTGTGATATTGCCCATTTTGTCTCTTATTCAGATTATTTGTCTCTTTTCCTTTGTTAGTTTTGCTAGTAGTTCATCTATTTTATTGACCTTTTCGAAGAACCAACTCTTAGTTTTGTCAATAGTTTCAATTGTTTTCTGTTTTCTATTTATTTCCCCTAATTTTTCTGATGTAAGTTTTTTAGAAGGCATCCACTTCCATAATAGCTTGCCTCCAGAAACCCTATGAACCTGGGGAAAGAATGAAAGTCACCCAAGTGTTGAGAACTTTCTTTCATAGGGTCGTTATCAGTCACCTACAACTTGATGATATTTAACAGCAATAACGCCAACATAGAGAGAGATCAGTTGGCCTAGTGGAGAAAAAGTGATGCTAAGTTGTGCCAAGAAATCTGGAGAACAACCACTTGGCCAACTGACTGGAAGAGATCTATTATTTGCTCCCATTCCAAAGAAGGGTGACCCAACTGAGTGCAGAAATTACAGAACAATATCATTGATTTCACATGCAAGCAAGATTCTACTGAAGATTATCCAA